TTTATGACAAGTTCATACAAACATTATGATCATCGACCAGTGGTTGATGTCTCAAATATAGGTTAATAATAGCGAGCTGAATAATACGATCGCATTATTATTCATTAAAATTTAAATAGAACAGATTGTCAGGGCTTTACTGAGTCATATGTAAACACAACAACAATAGGCCGCATATTTCCCCGAACCTGCAGCTCCTGTCCATAACAACAATCAGACCGTCTTCCTGTTTCCGGCGTGACGATCGAGTCTGTCCCAAAAATACCTCTCAATGCGCCCTCGCCGACTCGCGCTAAGGGCCCTATAGGTCTGCACTACATGACGTCACCGAAGTGTGGACTCTGAGGAAGTCCACAAGTTCGGAGTGTGCTATTTGGGACAGGGCCTTGCTAGGCTAGTAAGTGAAAGTAGTAAAAGGAAAGCAACACACACATTTTTCTTTTTCTTCTTTTTTTTTTTTAGCAACACACACACACACACCTTTGCTTCCTTTCTTTTTTTAGCTCCTACTGTCAAGAATGAGAGGAAAACACACAAAGTGTTTTAATCTGGATCGATTTCTATTGCTCTTTTTGTAAATGTGAAAGAAAGTCTATTGTGCATTTATTTTTTGAATGAGGCCTGTTCATCTTTCTTTTGTTATTATGAGATGTCTCAATATCTAAGTGTTAAAATTAACTGCAACCTAGTCTTACATTTTTTCCTCTGTTTTACTTCATTCAAATAAATGTTTTCCTAAAGACAAATATATGTTATTGATTTGTTTTTGTTATTATGAACATGTTATAGCTATTCGTCAAATTAGATGGACTAACTCAAAACCCATTTTTGTTTATTTCAAACAGCCTTTGCAGTTTATTTAGAACCTGTAAAAAAATGTTTTTAATCAAAAATCCCATAGATCTGTATCTCTGCTAAATGAATTTTACATGTTTGTGATGCCCTTTAATTTTAAGTTCATTTTTTAAATTTAAATGATTGTTGTGTTTCAATTTACACTTACAAAATGTGAAAATGTGTCAGTTCAATAAGAAAAGGATGAAGGAATCAATATTTGTAAATCAGAATATCCTTGATTGCTCAAGAATCACTTAACGTAACAGCGAGAAAACTGGGATGAATGCAACAAATATATTGTTTTTATTTAATCAACATTTTTAAATGAGTAGTTTTATAATTCTCTAATTTTTAATTCGATCATTCTGTTTGCAATGCTTCACGGGATTGTAGTCTTTCAATTAATGAGGCTGTTAAGTTCACAGTCCTGTACCTTTGTGTAAAAATAAAAACAATGTTGCTTCAAATCAAAGTTTGTAGTGTTGTGATTCACCTAGCTGGTTGGTTTGGTTAATGTATTATAACACTTTAAGGGGACTTTTTTTTTTTTTAAAGCCCTTTGGGAAAAATTATGGAAAAAATACTTCCGGAACCAGCGCCGCTGAAAAATGGGACGTGAACTGTTGCACTCTATAGACCAGTATTAACAATAGTTGCCCTCAATAGTGCCTGTTTCTATGGTCCGCCATACAGAGTGGTGCAGGTATGATGTCACTTAGTAGGCCAATCAGCAGATTTTATGATTCTTACACGTTTTGTCCATCAAGATCATTTCCACTGATGAACACAAATCTTTTGAATACTAAAGCCCAAATGCAGTTGCCAGAAGTAAAAAATAAAAGGCTAAAAATGAACTTCGGTCACATGACTTCAACACCATAACGAAGCTTCTGGCAACTCTTTCTGTTTTTATCTAAAAACATTTTCCCAGAAAGTTTGAGTTAGAATAGTATATAAGAGCACATTTATAATCAAAACGATGCTGTAAAAGTGGACTCCCAAACACCTTTTCAAGAAACGTTACTGCAGCTCAAAAAAAAAAAAAAAAGTATTGTTATTAAAATATTTTATCAATTCTATGAAAATACATATGAAAATAGATCATATTTAATCAAACAAAAATGACATGTAGGCCTAGGTAGCGCAACACTATAAGCTCCGCCCCTCACTTCTATCCTGTGTCTGCTGGTCTGAAACTGCTGGTCTGAATCTGCTGGTCTGAATCTGCTGGTCTGAATCTGCTGGTTTGAAACTGCTGGTTTGAATCTGCTGGTCTGAATCTGCTGGTCTGAAACTGCTGGTTTGAATCTGCTGGTTTGAATCTGCTGGTCTGAAACTGCTGGTGCTGTGGTTCTGCAGCTGAGATCTCTCAATGACTGCTGATATATGAGCTCCAATGATGATTGACAGGACTGAATGATTAGGCTCCTCCCCCAACCTACGTTTGGAACTCCATAAAATGAGCCCTGCACAAACTTAAACTATTGTAATGAATTAGCAAGAAATTAATTGAGTAACTTTATCCTGTGTGATGATGAATTTACACCCATTCACCCCAAAAATGCACATTTTCAGTTCATGCATTCCTTACATGAGTGTATTTGCTATAGAAAGCGTGTAAATCCAGCTTCAGTGAGAAAGACAAAGCATGGTCACAACTGATGTGCAAACAAGCTTGAATGTGTCGGACTAGAACTAATTACAAGGTAAACAAATCACCCCAAACATTTTCTAAAACATTTTTTTAATTTTTATTTAACAACTACATTCTATTTAAACAGAAAAACCACAGCGCATGTTTTGTTTTGTTTTCTCCGAGAATGAACACGATTCAGTGAAAGTGACACCAGCGGCTCAGTGTGTGTGTCAAAGTGAAACCTCTGCGGTCTCATTTAGCTAAGAAAGGTAGATTGACCAGATAAGTGGAAAACCTGTGTGTATTATTGTTAGGCACACTGATGTGTGTGTGTGTGTGTGTGTGTGTGTGTGTCAGTTGTTTGTGGGCAAAGAGTGTCTTTATTTCCTTTATATTCTAAGAAAGACTGCATAAGAAATAAAAGATACAATTCTGCAAACAATCATTTTAATAACTGCCTGTGTTACAGAATGTTATATTAAGTGAGTCTTATAAAATGCTGTATATTAAGAAAGTAATATAGTGTGGTCTCTGATAGGTGGTCCTGATGGGGGAGGGTCCACACACACACACACACACTTATAAAATCACACTTCAGAGATTTTCATTATAATGTTACAGTGCTCAATGAAAATGGTTCATGTTGGTGTTTTGTTCAGCTTGTGTTTGTGGCAACGGTTTGGTAAGTGTTTTTATATCATTGTTTTTACTGATTTCGTTTATGCTTTGCTTTTCATAGAGGGTAATATGATGGGTTTGCATTTGTTATTTCCAGATAAAAAACTGTGAAGAAGAGCAGATAAATTACTGTAAGATCTCGTTTAAATGCAGGTCTTTCTTCACAGATCATCACATTATACACAGATTCAATCAGAAACACACACTCTTCATATCTGAATATCCCTGTAAAATATTCAAAGCAGATACAACTAGTTAACTGTCTTGAGGCAGAAGTTCTTCTAAAATGTAATTTGTGTGGAGTAAACAAATGATTCAGAATCTCTAAATACAAAGGCAATGAGTTTTTTACTGTTTAAATCTCTCTGTTCTTCAGGAGTGTTTGCTGGTACAGATGCAGTGAAGTCAGTGTCAGTGATGGAGGGAGATTCAGTCTCTCTAAACTCTGATCTCACTGAAATGATGGGTGAAGATGTGATTCTGTGGAGGTTTGGAGATGAAAACACTTTAATAGCTGAAATCGATGTACTGGACGACAGCATGACTGTATATGATGATGATCCTGATGGGAGATTCAGAGACAGACTGAAGCTGGATCATCAAACTGGATCTCTGACCATCACACACACCACAACTGAACACACTGGAGTTTATCTACTAGAGATTATCAGAAATCTGAGCAAGATTTTCAATCTCACTGTCTATTGTGAGTTTAATATTAGTTTCTTTAATTTGTTACATTGAAAAAAAATATAAAATCTAATTTTACAGAAAATACAAAAAAAAATCAGTAATTTTCATTTTAAATTGTTCTCAAACTCTGTAAAATTAACAATTCAGCTGTCATTTTGAATGATTATGTCATTAATGACAAATTACACTAATTCTCTTTTTTTTAAATGACTAATTTATCTACAGTATTATTTCTGTTTTCTTAAATTACATACAAATGTAAAATTAGAAAAATAATTGTGATAATAATTTGTGAAATCACCACTAGATGGTACGGAGCCCCTAAAGGGACATGGTAGAAGAAAACGCATAAGAGATGGAAGGAAAAATAATGAGTAAATAATACAATTTTAGTTTTAAGGAAAGTAAAAAAATAATAGTAGATGTATTTTAGTAGGGATAGTGATTTATTCTAATCTTTCTCAGCTCGTCTGCCTGTTCCTGTCATCATCAGTGACTCTTCACACTGTTCTTCATCTTCATCATCATCAAATTGTTCATTGGTGTGTTCATCAGTGTTGAGCGTGTGTGATGCGACTCTCTCCTGGTACGCAGGAATGAGTGTATTGTCCAGCATCAGTGTGTGTGATCTCAGCATCAGTCTCTCTCTACCTCTGGAGGTGGAATATCAGGATAAAAACACCTACAGCTGTGTGCTGAACAATCCCATCAGCAACCAGACCACACATCTGGACATCAACACACTCTGTCACACATGTGCAGGTACAGCAGCACTGATCATATGTTTATTTTATTATTATTATTATTATTATTTCATAAATTGAAAGTTGCTGTTGAATCACACTTTGTAAGCTCCAAATAAATTCCCCATAGTTTTATTTTTGCTTTCAATATTGCTGTTTTTACCATATTTACATTACCGGTGATTGTGCAGTTTGGAGTTCCTGAAACAGACTAATGTCGGTTCACTAAAATCATTATTTATCATTGGTTATTTAGAAGTCCACTGCTGTGGATCTACTGAAGCTGTGATCCGATTGGTCCTCTCTGCTGTGGTGGGCGTGGCTGCTGTCATTCTTCTGGTTTATGACATCAGATCCACAAGAGGAGGAGACTAATGGAAGATCAGTTGAAGAATCAACAGCTGTGACCCTTATGATAGTTTCTTATGAATGACTATTTTCAACAACTAAATAATTTCAATTGAGATGTGTACTGTGTATTATGCGGACTCCCAGAGTACACATTGACATGAACACATTATTAAGCAATTGCTTTGTTTTACTAATTTAGGGCTTTATTTTTTTTTGTTGCTTTTTTTTTGTGCTTTTTTTTTTACAATTGTATTTGTTGTCTTGTGTCAGTAGCCTAGTAACACAACCAAGACAGAATTGTGTTTTATTGAAATTAATTTAGTCTTATTAAAATGAATTTAATTGTTACTCAAATAATCCAACGTTTTTTAGTGTATACCATTTGTTGTGTTTTGCATACCAACATCAACATTCAGGTTTGAAACAAATAATTTGCAAAGGTTTTGTAACTTCACGTCTGTCAGTTGTCAGTTGCCTTATATCCAACAATGTCAATAAAGAATAATTTCTGAATAATCAACCAATTTATTTTTTGAACCAAATTATGTTTTCATATTTTTCATAATGTAAATTGGAGCAAATCTTGAAAAAAAAAAAGAAAAAGTCCTGGTTAGGACACTAGGTAGCGCTTAGTAGTAGGCCTATACAATTACATTATGCGTAGGCTACTCATCCCTCTAGTGGTCAAATGCTGCTGTTACAGTTTCATTTGTTTATAGTTTTTCATCATCTGCTTTCTTTCGGTTCCACTTCCAGTACACGAAGAAGAGGAAGGTAATGAGGTCGCGTATGAACCTATGTTTAAGATGCAGATGCATAAGTTGGAAAATAAAGTTGTATGTTGAATATTTCCACTTGATAAGACCGTCATCCTTCCGTTCCGAACAACGGACCGTTGCTCGATGACGTGTAAGGAAAAACATTAACTTACCGCTTTACAGTTGTTCAACGCAAAAGTCTCATAGCAGCCGAGTCCATGGGCGTAGGTTTGGTCTCAGCTTTGGTGGGCCCGGACCCTCCATAAGTCATTAGGGACCCCCCATAATAATTTATTTTTGGATTTTGGGGGGTCCCCGACAAATATATTTTAACATTAAAAATGATTGTGACAATTATAGGTCTTTAGTGACGTTTTATATTTATAACAGTAATTTATTTATTTCCTAGCCCGAGGCAGCAATCAGGGCAGCTATTAGCCGATTGAGTTGTTGTTGTGGCTCCCGCTAATGTACGGACTGTAACAAAGTTGCGCTGTTGAGGCTCGCGCAGTTATTTATAACATATTCATTTATAGTTAAGAAACAATATATAGGCTACACACGACCAGAGTGCTGGTTTCCTGAATGCCATCACGATTGAAACCCAGATATTGATTTCATAACAATTCAATAAACAAATAGTTAAATAAATCAATTAAGTTACTTACATTTTTAGACGCAATGACTGTTTTTGTTCTGTTTCAGCAGCGAAAATAGTTTCAAACAACAGAACCACATCGCATCTCAGAGCAACACTCATCCATGATTCATTACTGAATAATTCAGCGTTTAAATTTGAACTAATCGTTCGAGTCAAAGATTCAATTACCCATTACTAAACCGCCTCATTCTGAATAAATCAGCCGTTTAAACGAATCGTTTAAATGAACGACTCATTGACTCGCTCATTAAGACGGCCGCCTGCCGCCTGCCGCCTCCTACTGGCGGTTTAGTTTCAAAGTATCATTCTTTTCAACATTCCTTATTTGTATATTAAAAAAATATTTAAAACAATCTCATAATCTCATTTAATACAGTTATAATTTTTCAATGTAAATTATTTAATTTGATTGGTAGCAGCCACTAGGCTAGGCTGTCTTATTATTTTAATTGAATGTAGCCTATTAATAAAATGGACAGGGGATGATGCCCCCGGACCCCCCTAATGTTACGATTTTGCCACCTCTGCCTCATTTTTGAGACAGGAAAAACCCTGACATTGGTCCATATAATTTTGCATACAGTAGGCTACATAGTGTAGCAAGGTATAGTCTTCAGAATTTTTTATAATTTTATAATTACATACATTTTAGGGGACCCCCCAAGAGTCATAAGTAATTTCGAACCCTGATATTAATACTGTAATATACAGTAATGAACAAAGAAGGTCATTTGACGCGTTTCATCCATCTACTGCTTGTATATCTCCCTGGTAACAGCGCCATGTTCGCGTGGTGTCGTCATACACCCAATGCTTTTCAACGTTGTAAATCTGACTGACTTCAACTGATTTTATAGTAGATGTAGGAAATTACGATGCTGAATAGTGTTCTGTGGAACTATCAAGTTGTAAATAGCATTGCAAAAGTCATAGTCCTCCTGTGGTCCAGACACGAATGATTCCTGGGCTCCTTGTGACAAGTATAGCCTAGCCTAGTGTCAAACACCACACCGAACTCCTTATCCGCACTAAAGTCACTAAAACAGCTCAGAATACATTGACAGGTGAAAATCTACACCAATCTGTCTCTCACAAGTCTGTGTCCAGAGATTGGCGAGAACCGGGGTCATAAAGGTAAGACCTGTTTCCATACATTGTTTATTTAGTGAACACTTACACATTCATGGTGTTCGGAAATTATGAATCTGTAATAAATCTGTCATAAATACTAAATGTATAAATACAAATTATAAAGAAACATTTGGGTTAAATTGTTTATTTTATTTGAGTTTTACTTTCACTTTCGCTATTGTGTTGTTTCCAAGCTGCCAAACTGAAAAATGTGCTTCATTCGAGATATGTTTTCCACGCAGGTCGTGGGAGCGTACAGTTCATAACACAGCGTTCACCAATAATGTGATTATGGATTATGAGCATGTGCATTGAAAAGCAAATGCATGGCTAAGTAATTATTAAAAATAATATAAATGTTACTATTACTGTTCTTATAATGCAGTATAGGTCTTAATGACTATTTATAAATATATTTATAGAATAGTAATACTTATTTATAAGTATAAATGGAGCTATAATTCATTATAAGCATGGACTTCACAGAAAGTGTTACCATTGTGTTTTTAACTGTAAAATACAACTTATAACATCTACCTAATACTCAGTCTATAATAGTGTCTGTGTCCTAAAGGCCCAGAATGCATTGTGTTGCTGACGTCACACCGAACGCAGTGAGATTGTTTAGAAATCAGGAATGGTGATAAAGTTTAAATCCAGACTGGCTGGCGTACTTCCCATAAGTTTTACACATTATGTCACATTCAACTACATGAGCGTTTACAGTCCAACAGCAATGTGTTTTCGTCTACCTCTTGAAGTGGTTGAAAGTGGACAAGCTCAAATGTTTTAGACCCCCTTTAAACTTGTATTTAGTGTCATCCACTTGTAATCCGAACGACCAAAACGCATCTTAATAGGTATAAACAGGGCCTGAGATGAAGTGAAGCTTCACCTGCAGTAATTTAAATCAAACCTAGAAATTATTGTATGTGAGCTATAAAACAAAACGTCTATATTAAGTTGATGTACTACTGAACTCTACAGCAACTGAAGATGAAACCATTTTTAGACCATTTGTTCAGATTTTTTTTTCCTTTTGATCAACCCATTTTTTAGATTTGATTTTAAGATTGAAGGCTGTTCAAATAGAGTATTGTTTTTTGGAGGCATCAGTGTATAAGGTCATATAGAGATGCAAATGCCCTCTGATATCAATGTCAATACTTCAATCACAAAATGATATATTTTTATGTAGTTGTTTTGTGTAGAGTAGAAGACGGATTGTGAACTTCAACTTAGCAGGAATTGAAAAAAAAAGGGAAGGAATAATAAGAATAAGAATAATTTGCTCAAGATGTGTTCTCTGTTGTTGTTTGTCTGTCACTTGTCCTATGTTACGTGTTACACCTTGAACATGGTGCTATAACCCCCCCCTTCACTTATGTACCCAGGCTCACACTGAACGGGGTGAATAGTTATGCTATTCACAGTTACTGTGATAGTAATAGCAATAGTAATAGTTACTTGAATAGTTACTGTATACACATTTATTGTCTGTATTGTAATATATTGTGTATATATGCTCTTTTTCTGTTTTATTAAAAATAAAGTTGTCCTCCAAAGAGGGGGGGTGGTGGCGGGCAAAAAAAAAAAAAAAGGAAATCAACCACATGCAATTCCCGCTAACTCACAAAAATACAACATTCACACCTCACACACTTTCTAGTGCGTCTCTAACATAAACGTCCAGTAACAAACACACACACTCTTGCAAAAGCTGTTTGTGACCATGACATCAAACCACATTTCTTTCCGATCTGAAGAAAGACCACCACAGTTTTCAGTCTGACTCACACGCTGAGCTGCTGACTGTTTTAAATGCATGCACTTACTGAGTTGCATTCAATACAAAACCATTGTAATATTAGATTTAAATAAAATCATACAAGAGCATATTATTCTATTTAGATATTCAGACATGTGACTAATGTTGTGAACTTGACAAAATTACCACGAATTACAGTTACAATTACAAATGCATTTAACCCTCAGGTGCTCTTCGGTCATTTCTGACCGAACATTTTTCTGTTTTAAATTTTTAAAAATCACAGCTTTATCGGAATGTTACGAAACTTGGTGACTTTTATTGCATTGGGTATGTGAACACACAAAAAAATTGAGGTCATGATCCGAGCAGGCTAAGTGGTCGTAAAAAAATGAGTCACACTTTTGCTCTTCTGTCAAACATGACCGGCCATAGGAAATGAATGGGAAATTGACAAAAACACAAAAATTCTGAGAATTTTTGTGTGTACAATCTACAAATCGGCCATGATGCAGAAAAAAAGTGCTCAACAATGAAGGGGTAACACTCTAAAACACCAAGAGTGCAAAACAGACACACTCACCCACCCACACACACACACAAACACACTTTTTATACACATACACACCAATGAATTGACCGACCATAGGAAATGAATGGGAAATTGACAAACACAAATTCTCTACAAATCGGCCACAATGCAGAAAAAAACATCATTAGTGGAAAACATAACATAACATAACA